GCACTCCGGGAGCCGAAAGGAAGCTCTAAGGTTGGAGGGGCTGGAGACCGAGAGGAGAGAGCAGGCCAAAGTCCCAGGGGTGGGCCCCCCAAGAGCCTTCTGCATCCCGTCCCCCAGCCCGGATTGGGGAAGGCAGGGCCAAGCCACCGGGGCGGGTCTGTCCGGAAGCCCACGGACAGAACGCTGGGCTGGGAGGACACAGCGGAGTCCCCCTCCCCTCCCCTGGACCCGCAGCTGGACGGAGCCCGGAGGACCCGAGACCACGCCGCGTCCCCGCCGCCAGGTGCGCCTCGCGCAGTCTGGGAAGACGTGGGCACCGGGCCGCCTCCTGCCAGTCCCTCTTGCTGTCCCAGGAAAACATTTCGCCTCCAGGCACCCGGGCCACAGAGGGAAGGGACGCGCGCCCTTGAGCTGGAGAGGAGAGAGTTCAGCTGGGTCCCCATCTGAGAGGGAGAAAGGAGTGGGGGAGCGAGCGGTGGGCAGCTTAGTAAGGTGGAGGTAGAGTGTGGGGGGCTGACCACATCCTCTCATCCTCAACAAACCAGTTGACCTGGGAGAGGGTGCCAGTGCCCTTCAGGAACTCCAGGTCACCTCTCCTTCTTTGTTGCCTGGATCAGGGACCGAGATGATAGAGGAAGTGGCTGCTCCTGGCCCCGAGGGTGAACAGCCCATCCTGGCCACCTTCCACAGGAAACCTGAGCTGGGGGACAGAGCAGGAAGGAATCAGGTGGGTGTGGGGCCAGGAAGGAGCAGGGGTGGCACAGGAAGGGAGGCTGGTGAGGGTGTAGGGTTGGGAAGTACCGCGACTGTTAGGGGCCAAACCTGGGTCCTCCCTAGAGCCAGAGGTTTGGTGATTGCCCTTCTATTCCAGCTGCTGTCAGCTGGCCCAACTCTGAGGCCTCCTCCTACGGCCTCCTGAGCCTTCTGGTGTGATCTTGGGTGTGTTGATCAGGCTCAACTGTAAAATGGGATAATGGAACTATTTCATAGGATTATTCTCAGAATGGACCGTATTATGGAAGGTTCTAGAATTCTCTGGCACAGAGTAAACAGAAATTTGCTATGATTAGTTTTTCCCCAAGTGTGTATCTTCCCAGAGCTTGCCTCTGTCCTGTCTAGTTTCTTCTGTTTTCCACTAGCCTGTGAGCTCCTTGAGTGCAGAGCCCATCTCTTCTCAACTCTGGTAGTCACTCGCCACTCCCAGGATACTGTGGTCGCATCGGGACCTGGCAGGGAGGATGGCCAAAAACAGGAACCAAGAGGATCCTGTGAAATTGTGCTAATAGGGGCTGAGGACATAGCTCACAGTAATGTTTGTCTAACATGTGCAAGGTCCTGGGGTTAATTCCCAGCACAGCAAAAGAGGAAAAATCCTTCTGTGAAGGCTCTGCAATGAGGGGCTCCTTAGCCAGACCCAAACATGAAGAGCTGGAAGGGCTTGGCCTGCCACATAGGGAGGGGTGAGGAGCAGCCTTGCTGGGTTGAGGTGTAGAGAGGAATGGTGGCTTCTAGGATGAAGGCTGGTGAAGTAAGGAGGAAAGGCAACCTCCCCAAAGTCTCACCAGAAAAGCACAAGGCCCTCACTGCCTCTCCCTCCAGCCCCATCGTGGGAGACCCCAGACTTTGACCTTCAGGAACTGTAGCTGAAAGCACCGGCCTTGACATCTGGTTCTGTCTCTTACTGTTTGATCTTGGGTTTGCCATTTGTGCTCATGGATCCTCAGTTTTGCCATCTGTAAAACAAGGACAATGCCCCCAAGCTCTGGCTGTTGGCAGGACTGAGATAACATCATGAAGCACTCCGCGGTGCCTAGCACACTGTGAGGCCCAGTGAATGGAGGTGTTCTTACTGTTCTGGGGTAGACTTCGCCTCCACCAGTGACGGTGTTGAACCCTGGCTGGCCTGACCCAGAGGACAGTCCCATTTCCAGGGAGCCAGGTCCACAAGTCCACTCAGACAGTGACTCAGGCCAGCTGCCAGAGGAATACTCAGGATACCTCTGCTCAGGTAGTAAGTATCCTGCCCTTCCTGAGGCCACTGTGCCCTCTGGCCTGTCTCCCTTTCCTACCTGGGGAGTAGTCTGCCTTGTACCCAAGTTCTTGTGTCCTTTTCAGGACTTCCTATTCCGACATCCCCCTCAGGTCATAGGGGTTTGGCTTTAAACTCATTCATATGAATCCACTTTACTTCTCCTAAGGGGTCTTTGTTGTTTTAGCACACGGAGGGGCTTTGGCTGCAGGAGAGGAGGGTCGGCTTCACATATAAGAAGGTTTGGGATTCCCTCCAGGCGCACCAGATACCCAAGTCTACCTGCTGCCCTTGAGCTCAGTGAAGGAATACAGTATCTACCCTCCAAGCAGAGGGGCTGAGAAGTTGCTCTAGATAGGAGGAGAGGGTGGCAATGAGGGAGGAAAGGGGAAGAGAAAGGAAACAATGGCTCTTCTTCCCCTTCCACCATCTCTCTTCAGGATTCTGCAGCTCTGAGCATGGACCCACCACGCCGGGACACCAGTCTCCCTGCAAAATGGCCTGGGGTTTGGACCCTCCTGCAGCAGCTTCCTCCTCAGGACTGCGATGTGCGCCTCCCTGCCCAGTTCCCCTCTGTCCCTCTTTACTTACAGTGGGAAGGGCCTTGTTCCCGGCCAGGTGACATAGATTTAAGGCCTAGCTGTGCCACTAGCCAGCCCCAGTTCCCACACATACATGATGGTTGCAGTAGCATCTGCTCTGTCTACCAAAGCTTGCTTCACGAGCAAGTGAGACATGGACATGGAGACCTGAAATCAATAATGGAATGGACAAATGTAGAGCATGGTTGCTTTGCATTTATTGAAGCCCTGTGTGTCCCAGCCTAAAGGCATACAGTTCAACTGGGAGGAAGACGGAAGAATGAGAGAACCGTAGAGAAAGCACCTAGGCAGAGAGTGCGGAGTCAGCACTGGGTTTCAGGGCTCCGGGGGGCAGTGGGGGAGACTGACGCAGGCTTTCCCGCACCCCCTCTTCTGTGTCTACGCTGTTTTCTCCTGAGCATCCACCACCTCTCCACCCAGTAGCTAACCCTTTCGAGATTCTCCAGCCAACCCTTTACCTTGCCTGTGGGGTTGTTCCCACCACAGTGGAGGCTTCTTTCTGCAGGAGCGCTACTGCCTGGCCCTCGGGGAAGAGGAGCTGGCAGAGCTGCGGCTCTTCTGTGCCCAGCGGAAGCAGAAGGCCCTGGGACAGGGGGTGGCTCGCCTGATACCTCCTGAGCTTGAAGGACACACCTGTGAGAAGGTGCCCTCTGCCCCCCTCCCTGTCCTCTCACTTCTGCCAAAGGGGTAGTTCCTGGGGCTCTGGCGATTGGAAAAATGTCAGGGACAAAGGGGGACCAAGTTTGGGAGTCCTGGTGGAGGCTGCAGTGGCCCTAGGACTCCAGGGTATGAGAGAACACGTAGTAGGGAAGAACCAGGGTGGTCAGGACTCAGACCAGCTCGACCTCCACCCAGCAGTGCAAGCAGCAGCTGAGGCCAGGAGAAGTTGGAATATTCGCAGCGCCCGAGGGTGAGCAGCACTGCTGGCACTGGCCTTGCTTTGTCTGTCAGGCCTGTGGCCAGGTCCTAATGCATCTCATCTACTTCTACCACGATGGGCATCTCTACTGTGGCCGTCATCATGCTGAGTTGCTGCGGCCGCGCTGCCCTGCATGTGATCAGGTAGAGGAGCCCCGAAGGCTGGGGCGGGGCCTCTGTGTAGGGCCCCTTGTGGCAGGTGATGCTCTCCTGAGCTAGTTTCTCCCAGTAAGTGGGGAAGGGAGCACGGGAACAAGCTGCCCGACCATCCTGTTCCCTGCCTTCCGACTTGAGCCCTGGGCAGACTTGAGCTCTGGGCATGGGATTGTTGCTTTTACCTGTGCCCTCCCCACAACGAAAGCAAAACCCCTCACATTTCTTTGGTCTGGACCTGGGGTTCCCCGATAGATGTTCACCTCAGTACGCTGGAAGCTCATTGCGGTGCCTGAGCATGCTGGAAAGACCCTTTAAGGTCGTCAGCATGAGAGGTAGCACAGAGCTCTGGGGCTGAGATTCAGGAGCAGGGTTCCAATTTCTGCCTGTGCCACCTGCTAGCCTGGGGAACCTGGCTAAGCCAATCAGCCCTCTCTGGCTCCAAGAGTGAGGGAAGTCAAACGGGGATGCGCTTTAGTGTGAACTGGTTGTAAGGCGTGGTTATCTGATGGATGAATGAGGGAATGAATGAATGAACCAAAACCGTTCCCCCGAACCTCCCTCTCCCAGCTGATCTTCTCCCGGCGCTGCACCGAGGCAGAGGGACGACGCTGGCATGAGAACCACTTCTGCTGCCTGGACTGCGCCGGACCTCTGGCCGAGGGGCGCTATACCCTGCCAGGGGGCAGCCCCTGCTGCCCCAGCTGCTTCGAGAGCCGCTACCCAGACACTGCCGGGGCAGCAGAGGGGCAGGCGCCCCGGGGTAAGGGAGCAGAAGGTGCCGATCACAGCGGAAGGGGCAGAGACTGGGGCTTCTCCTGGGTCACGGTTCCCATCCCGGTCCTCCGCCGGCCCATCCCTCTAGCAGAGGCCCCCACCTGCTTCCACACCCCACATCCGCACCTCGGGGGCCCGCAGCTCTCACCGCGCGTCCCGGGACGCCGCCCGAGTGCCCCCCACCCC